ATTATCAATACTGTAACGTTTTTTAATACTATATATTTTATAAAATTTGGTTTATAAAATGTTTAAAATATTTCTCGTCAATTTAACATTTTTTTAACAATTAAAATAAAATATAGGAAATTATAAAAAAAAATGAGAAAGAATGGAAGTTTAATATATCTAGTAGTTAATCAGATAAAAATACAAATGTGATTAATTGTGATTAAATTTTATAAATATCTATTTATATCATGCACTTCTTACAATATCGAGTTATTATGTTTATTCAACTGTTTGAATTGTACAATCATCTAAAATTTTCGAGCATTATAAATAATAGATAAATGATGAATTACTTACTTTAAAATTCTTTTACCGATGCTCGATGCTTCCCAGATTTCCTCCTCTTCTTAGTAGTCCATCGAAGACTGCTTCTCACGCAACACTCGCGAGAATAATTACGATTGCACGAAATTTTTAACGGCACTCCCGATATTTACCGCAATCTAAACGCGTATCACGACAAAGCGTTAACTCGAAAAAAAGCACGAAATCGCACGAAATTGATTCGTTCGACACTCCCGGTGTCGAAACAGACTTTAGAGGAAAATCAAAAATTGTGCGTTATGTTGTGTGCAATCTATCGCGGCTATGCTAAATTCCAAGTACGAATAAATCAAAAAGTAAAAGTTAAACCCTTTAAAAAAGTCTCTTTATCTTTTTTTCGCATTTTTGTAAACTTCCGCTCTTTGCATATATGAAAAATAAGATATCTCTGTTTTAAAGCGTTTCAGATATTTGATTATTTTATATTATAACAAATAAATAGAGCACATAGAAGTTATAATTAAAAGTCTATAATTATAGAAAGAAATATTTCAGTTATTAATTACATAAACTAATTTTTTAATCGTACGGACTGTGGCAATTATTCCTCGGAAATAATATTTTAATATTTGTCGCGATCGCCTTTTAAAATATAATACAAACAATATGAACCGATTTTTATTGTCGTCTACGTAAATGAGATATTTGCGTTTAGAGTGCTTTATCTCTCATATTCTAACAAACGAATAAAATGTACAAATTAGAAATCAAAGATACATATTCACGCGGATTAAAATATCTGAGTTGCTAATCGCGGGAGCTAATTGTGCAAACATTAAATAAGCAGTTATTTGTAGGAAATAATCTTATATTTTTGTCGCGATTTGAAATGTAATAATAATACGGAGATAGAGCACGATTTCCGCTGCTGTCCGTGCCGCGCGAATGTTGTCGTGCGAATGGTAGCAAGGTGATAGCATGTCAACAACAGCCACGTACACCATGTCGTAGGTCACAAAAAATGAAAATAAAGTTACGCGTTGAAGTATTTCCGTGGTAGTTCACGTGATCTATGACGTATGCGACGTATGTGCGGTTATCTGAGAGGAAGAGGAAGAGGAGGCTCTAGGATCGGACATCTCGGCGTCTTTAAGATAATTGATTTATCATTTATTTATTATTTGATATTTGTGAGATATTAACGCTGCTAATATAAATTAATGCTGTTTATAACATAAAATATTTATCGCTTTATCGTGAAATATGAATTGAATTGATGATGAATAATCACAAACTTGACATCGACACCTCGATCCTTTCTTTTCACGCGCGATTCGAGAGGCGAGCCGAATTTTAATAGGCTTCGCTTACGGCGCGTTTCACTCGTAACGCCAGGAACAACCAGTTTCTCTGATTATGCGAAAGACATATCAAGCTGATTCGCATAAGTTTAAGCCGCAGCCAAAGAGAAACCATAAAACGCGCAAATGAGGTGACATTTTTGTATATTTATATATACACGGTCGTACATACATAAGTATAATATTTGTTAAAAAAATTTCCAGAAATATTGGTCAAGGATTAAGCCAGAGATCTTTCGAGATCTTTAATTTTTGATTGAAATCAGATTACCATAAAGATAACGCTACACATCGAAATTTATTGAAAGATTCTTTCCATTTAAATGTTACAATATCCTTTAGAATATATTTTATGTGTCGTTAAAGCTGCAGGATTAGTATTATAATGTGAAGGGCATAAATTGAACGAAATGACGCAAAGCGATCTCGGTCAAATGTATATGTCTAGACAGACTTTGCAATCGATCGAAAATTATAATCGTAAAACGCAAAGGTATTTTTCGTCATAGTAAAGCGTGCGATTCGTCGAGCGTGAAATAACTTGGAGCCGCGGCGTTTCGCAGTGGTTCGTGCGATTATTAGTCGCTATCGCGTACTTATGCAACCGTCCTGTATTCGGGACGATGATATTTGCATGTTTCCGGGTGTACCTGGGTTGTTAACGCAGTGCGGAGATAGCTCGCTTCAATAATGTCATATTTTTTTTCACAATAGCAAACATAAAGCGTACGCTGGTAGATTAGACTACTAATGAGCTTATGACTGCTATTCGCATGGACTGTCTGGACACATACATTTAGCCAAGATAATCTCACGACATTTTGTTCAATTTATTTCACAAATGATTGAAGAATGTAACATTAAAAGGAAAGAATTTTTAAAGAAATTTTATTATTTTTATGGTAATCTGATTTTAATTAAAAATTAAAAACTTGTCCGGAAAAGCTCTCTCTCTTTCTAGAAATGATTTCTCCAACAACAATATTGCATAAATGTTACGCGTTGCACAGTATCAAAATAATTGTTTTATTTTGTAAATAATTTCTAGATAATTTAGTGAGAGTTATATTAAAATTATATAGATTCTTTATGAATTGTAAAAAATATTATGCATGTATTAAATACAGAAAGTATCTTAACTATTTTTTTCTAATACTGATTATATTTCTAAGTCAATCTCTAACTCGTTTATCAAGTACAAGTGGAAATAATATTAAGCCAAAAAACAGCTAACGAGTGTTTCAACATATATCCATCACAAATAAGCGAGTAAAGTAGTTTGTAATCCATAACTGGGTTCCAGACTTAGAACGGTCGACGGTCGATGCTCCGATCGATCGCTAGATTATAACGTTTGTGTGTGCGTATGTGTGGAATCTGTTATGCGAATTATATAGTTATCTTACTATCTGCATTTTTCGTTCCGAAACAAGCGCGGCAACTGACATTTGTCTGGCATTCAAGCGAGGAATGCGTCATTGAAATGATCGACATTAAGTATATGCAGGGTGGTGCGTTAATCGGATTAGCTTTGCATTTTCTAGATACGCGACAAATCGAGATTTCACTCTTTTGCTCGCAAGGAGCGCAAGGATGCCACACAAAGCACAAATAAAATAGTGAAGACAATGGCGATGACAATGGTGATAACGTAGCTAAATAGCATAAATCCGGCAAAAATAGATGTGCATCTGCATTCATATTTTTCGATGCATTTGTTTTAATAAAGAAGATTATTTGATTTATCTTCTTTATATAACTTTTTGAAATTGTTTACAAGGCGTATCGCGGTTCGTATTTAGAGTTTAAATATAACATAATACGCGGATTATGTTATAACACGTAATTGATAAACTGCGCGATGTACCTCGTTTATAGAAGTTGTTAAAATTAGTCGATTGCGAAATGAATCGTATCGATGGAGTTGGACTTCGTATATGCGACTCCAAATTCTAATTTGTAATCTGCAACTGATTTATAAATAAGCATGTATCTGTGTGATATGCTAATAAAGCGCAGCGCTTAACGACGTAAACACGTTTGTAGCTATGTAATTGTATATTTGAGAAATAGATGAATGTAAATCTGAAATTTATTTCTGAAATTTAAATCTGAAATTTATTTCTTTTTTAAGAGAAATATGCAAAAATCGAGAATTATGATTTGCGAAATAAATTTTTCATTTTTAAGATAAAAACCAGTCAAATTTAAACTTATATTTAATATAATACAACATAAATTCTTGATATTAATTTAAATATTTTAATTTAAAAATTGTTTACATTAAATGACACAAGTATGTTAAACTTATTACTTTGAAGTTTGCACTCTTCTATATTTTTAGAATTATTGCTTTCTCATTCTTGCAATTTCTTCGAATTTGTTGCTCGTAAAGAGTGTTCATGAAAAGTAAGATAATTTTCTCAAATATCGCTTTACAGCTGATAGAACGGCGAAACATTTGCGGGGTGAGTTGCACAAAGTCAGAAAATTACGAGAACGAGGTTGGCGGATATCGAATAATCGCTAGTGGTCGAACCAGTTGCCCGTCGACGTTGTCGATACGGTGATGTCGCAATCGCTCGACCGTAAACTGGACCCACTGGGCCAGTGGTCAACCGTGAATGGCTGACCACACCCTCGTGCACCTTTCACAAAGTTTCCTTTATAAAATGCTTCTTTAAAAATTGTCTGAAAAATCTGCAAGCAAAACACATGTTATAGAACTGACACTTGTCTGCAAATTTTTTAAAATTTAGCTCTCAGTAGTTTCAAAAAATTTGGGCAAATGATATATTTGTAATAGAGAAATCTAATTAATCCTGGAAATAAATTTTAATAGATATTTTATTATTTACAATCATCGAATTTTAGTTTTTTAATACTTTCAAATCAGAGAAGAGTCTGCTATACCAGCATTTCTTAAAGGACGCTTATCGACTCATGTTCAGTTTACGGTTCATGATTATTAATTGTATTTATTCTTGCAATGCGCTAATTTTCTAATTCTTTTTAGCTTATTTATGTATATATATATCGAGATAAGAATGATCTGCATTTATTTTGGAACTGCATTGCATTTTATTACATAATTATATTTATTTCAAATTTAATAAGTTCTACATTTAATTATATTATTAAATTTGTATGCGGCGCGTATTTCTGATCCACAATTTGAATAGTACAGACATGCACCAAATTTTAGTGCAATTTGCCGGCAATTGAAAATTGGATATGACTATGCAGTTCCAGTTGTAAATGCAGATGACAGTACTGAAAATAGATTGGTTTAAAATGGCCGCCGCTCGTAGACTGTTGGCAGCACTGCACCGGTTATGCTAATAGGTAGACACGTGAGGAGGTTAATCAGACATCGCCGTGGAAGGCATGTAAGTATCGTATGCCTTTTGCGGTGTCTACTGTTTGATGTGCGATATCATTAGAAATGAGTGATCAACGCTTTCATCTAAGATGTTTTACTTAGACGTTTCTCTGTTAGTATATTCATTACTTTACATACGATACTAGCATAGCTATTTCGTAGAACATAACCTGCACGCATATTTTCTTCGAAATCTAATTTACTTAGTATAATGATTGTCTAATTATTTGTTGCGTAAATGAGGCAATTTTCTGTTGTGAAAAGAATGCCTTTTTGTGCTTTGTTTCAAAGGAAATAATTTATGTTGCTGAATTGTGATAACCGTCGTTGTAAAGTGGATTGTGAATTTGTAATAGTATTAAGTTATAAAACTATTGAGTTTTTTAATAAATTTTAAATGGAAGTCACACACCACTAGTTAATTTTTATATAAAGAAATTAACATTATTTTTTTTTTGTTAGCAATAGTAAAAATTTCAAACAAAACAAGTTGTGTTAAAAAAATTTACTGTTAGAAAATTACACACTACATGTTTCAACAAAGTACAATAAATTGTAATTTGTTTCTGATTTTAGAGAAATTCCATCTAATTCTGATCTCGTAATAACTCCTGTAGACTTGAAAAAGAATATTCTTCAAGCCGTTACAGAGTTGTTTGGCGAAGAGGGCGCCAAAAGTCCAATAGATATTCTAAAGTTGGATTCTGAAAAGTGCAGATTTGTCTTACGTTGTCCATCCGACGATTGCGTACGGCTACGAGCTGCTCTGAGTCTCGCCACCAAATACGAGAACAAAACGTGTGTTTACACAGTTCACCGAGCATCGCCGAATTTATTATTGTTTACTGCTGACAGCAGAACGTACAATCACTTCTAACGCTTCATCATGCCATTGATTCGCAAGGAAGGCAAAGACACAATCATCTTTGCATCTAAAGAGGATCATGCAGTACCCAGCAAGATAAACCTGCCAGAATCAGAACCCAGTCCGGGTCTGCTACTGCCTAATGGCGAAATCAATTGGAATTGCCCGTGTCTGGGTGGTATGGCAACTGGACCATGCGGATTAGAATTTCGCGAAGCCTTTTCCTGTTTTCATTACTCGACCGCGGATCCAAAAGGTTCGGATTGTCGCAAGGCGTTCGAAACAATGCAGGGATGCATGTCACAATATCCAGCATTGTATGAAAGCAAGGGTGTACCGATGGACGATGATGACCTAGAAGAGGAGGATGCTGAACAAGAAGAGAACCAGTCATCAGCCAGCAGCGAGGACAAGAGAAAGGCAGTGACGACTGATCACGACACAATACTAGAGACGAAGACCAAGGAGAAAGTGAATGCTTTGAGTACAAAACAGGAAGTGGAGCGAGCTAAGACTAACTGAATGTGATATTTGCACATACTTTGCTGTTACAAGGCGTGGTATTTGTTTTTTCTTCTAATAGATTTCTTTCTCTTTAAAGACAAACAATAATACCATGTTGTATTATACTGTGGTGTCGGTATAGCATTCGCAAGAGGCGTTTCTAGTGCATAAATAATGAGACTTAAGATGAAGGATCTCTCTAACATTAGGAAAAAGTGATAAATGAGTAAAAATAAAACACTCGTTAGCTATTTTTGATTCTTGATGGAATAATGAAATTGAGACATAGAATAACTAAATCCAAAATTTTGTACGCGCAAAATCGATGGGTTTAGTATAACTTTGCATACACTTAGTAATTAATAGTTCCAAGTTCATAACATTCATGTTCGTCTGTTATTAAAAAGATCTTATTAATTCTATCGTCTATTTTATTTTTTGCATTCCGTATAGTTAGCTCTAACGTATTTACCTTTCATATATTCTTAGCTGTATTTTACAGTAATAATGACTAATTAATTAATTCTTAAATATTGAAAGGACACTTTGTTAGGAAATATATAATAAATGAAAAATTATTAAAGCTTAATAGTACATATTTACATAATAAAAATAAAAATTGCCATATTATTAAATAATAAGAATAACGAAAAAAAAATATTAACTGCATTTTGTAGAGTTTTGTTGTATCAAAGAATTGGTCCTAATTACTTAATTTTAATTAAAAACAAATATAGTTACTATTATAAATATCTTTTCAATCAGTTTGAAATCATAAATTTATCAATCTTTTTTCAAAAAGACTTGTGTTTTTTATATCAAAGTTGCTTTATATATATTTCTTCCTATTTAATTTCTAAATTTGTATACATATTTCAATTTAAATGTAAAAACAGAGAAGTAACCTATTTGTATTTTAACTTTCATTTGAATTTCGCGCGCTAATTTATTTGTTTGATATTTTTCTAGTACACCGCCAGATGGCGAAGCTTCATTCTCGGACGCCGCGTGACGTCAAATCGTGTTTCTCCCACCTCTCCGTTCTTCATTTGATTGTATTCGATTACGGTCGTATGTAGTACGCTACTTTAATACCAGCGCCGTGGATCATCAGTGTGCACATATGTAATAACACTGCCACCGTTTGTCAGCAGCCGCCCATAGCGGGAGCAATAGCAGTATCATCGTCGTTTGTTATTGTCGACTTGCGTCAACACACGTACCATGAAGCTGTCGTTATACTTGCAATCCGTAAGCTTGGCAGAACGCGGCGTTCAATCTCTCGGCTGCGGTAAAGCGCGACCAGCGCGTTGAACAGTGACACGCGTCGCGTGCCGTGCATCGATCTTGATACCGACGCCGAGACAGACAAATAGAGAGAGACAGACAAAGTGTACGCGCGGTGAACAAAGTGCGGGCGAGTGAAGTTTGCGTCAAGTCGATCGGAGCGAAGAGTACGAGCGGTTTTTCCTTCGCGAGAACGTGCGCGCGCGTGCCGGATACGTTCCTTGGCAGTGACCGAGAGTGTCCTGGTTTTTCGTGCGGTGTGGTGAGTGCGTGCAACATCATCTCCTTGCCGTCTCATCCAGTGCAACGTCGTGCCTCAGCATGGATACTCACAGGAAGGAGAAGAAGCACAAAGAGAAAAGGAGGTGAGTCTTACTGAAAACATCGTTATTTTCGGAACGGTCGTACAGATTCGACGGCAATCTCGACATTCTCGCGTCAGTCGCGCGTTTCTTTGCTCGAGACGACCGCCGACATAATGATATCACTCATAATGTGAAATCGGTGGAGCGCAGAGAGACAGAGAGAGAATGACAGTTGAAAAAAAGGAGTGGAGAGAGAATAGGAAAGAAAGAGCGACGAGGGCGCGTGTATGCGTGCATATGTGTACTTGACGCAATCGCTTTGCTTCTTTGATGTCGTACGGGATCATCGTGCTATCTCTCTTTAATTGCAGTGCTCGATCTCACTTGCACTTACCGCCCTCTCTCTCTAGCGCCACGTGATCCCTGCCGTCTGTCTTTGTTGCTCTCGTCAGCGCTTTCCCGTTCTCTCTTGCTCTTTTGATCCTCTGTTCTTAGATTCTTCAATTAAATGGAGAAATTCTAAACAAGTATCAATAAGAGATGCATTGCTCCATTTTTCTATTATAAGATCTTTGATTTATGTTATTGGAGTCAGCTTAGGCTTTATCTTATTGTTTTGATTGCTCTTTGAATATGATTTAAGTGCTCCACTACTCTAGTTTTACATTTGTTTACATCATTATAATTTGTTTGTAAATGACTTTGTTAAAATTGTAGTTGTACATGTTTATTTTGAATTTACAATACTTTTATATCATTTATAAATCTAATTTAGTTTTTGCTACACAATTAATTTAGTTATTAATAAATTTGTTATTAATAAATATTCAATATAAAAAGAAGAAGCAAAGAGAACGACCTGTTCATTCCAAAAGTAGTATATTATCATTGATATTATTATTGATATAACAAACGTTTCTGTCTATTATCAAGTCCTCTTAAAATTATTAAATTTTTATATTAATTTTTGTTTCACGAAGTTAATACCGTAATATTTCACCATTTAGGAAAAAGAAAGAAGAGACCTAGAAAAAACTTCTCTCTTGTATGTTTTATCATTCTCTGTCTCTCTCTCTTATTTCACTTTCTCGGGCTACATTGGTATGCGGGCGCTTTTTATGTCGTACAACGATTTTAACTCATGGACTAACACTTTTTATCTATGAATATTGTCGATGGGACCACTATATATTGTGTTTTTAGAGGTTGCCAGATTCGATTTCTCTTTTTGTGTCCGTGTTCTTAATTTGCGCACACGTCGTATTATTACGACCTTGTGACCCAGCAGCTAATTATTTATTATTGCGTGATGTAGCAGCAATTAAAAGAAATTCTTTATTGGGGCTCAGAGATAAATTAAATTTTCTTGGTATTATAATCATGTTTTTTATAATATTGCCATAATAGCTTGAAAGTGAATACCATTCGAGAGATGATATAAGATTTAATAACAAGATTTAACTGCTTCTTTATGTCAGTGAAACTCACTCAATACTTTGTTTTAATATTTTTTAATGCAATAATTTGATTTATATTTTTAATTTATATTTTGTTACAAAATATAAATAAAGTATCGATTTGAATATTTGTAAAATCCAAATTCTATAAAAAACATTTATACTATCAGTTGACATTCTACGTGAAATTATGTGCATTTTCTATGCGAAACGTCATGGAATATTTGCATACTTACCGTGCGAGAGAAAGTTCGCAATACACGGACTAAGGATTTTGCAAAGTAAATAGAAAAAAAACTGGTTTGCGCGAGAAAAAATATTTCAATGGAAAAAAGATAGTTTTTTCTGTTTAAGTAATGGATTACGTGACAGAAAACTTGTATAAAAGGAAAAAATAATAACGATATCGCGTTCTGAATATTGTACTTTGGCCCTTGATGATGATAACCTTTTACATATATGTAATATTTCATACATTCGAACGCTATCGTACGCGCGTGATACGTGTGGACGTGCCGAGACGTTTTCGCTGATCTCGCCACAACTGTTACAGTCTAACGATGATTATCATATGATCCCACCGTGACGCCTATGATTTCTACGTATTTTCGTAGTTTCCGAGTAGCGGAGCGGTTATTTTCGTGCGTGTCACGATGAACGCTTGTGGTCCGCAAAGGGAGTTTTATCGTCAATGATAAAAGAGCTCTCGCATAAACCATTTCTCGATGAATATTATCTTATTATTAGAGCAATGCTTTGTAAAATAAATGTTCTTATTTGCATTTATATATATACAGTTTTAGAGAAAAAAATCACCTCGACAAAACAATACCTCGAAATTGCAGTCACGAAGTATCACCAGTTTTTAAATTTAACAATCTAATTATACAATTAATTTAAAGTTATTATATTTAAGCTGATGCGCTACGAAATATATATTAGATAAAAGAAAGGTCATTAACCAAAGCTAGAATTTAGACTTTGTACGGTTTGTGTGTGTTTATACACATCATAGAATCATAGAACTGAAATTTTCCATTCTACGTTCTTATATAGATCTGTAGATATATATCAGTCTACACTTAATTAAACACTGAATTATTGCTGTTATGAGTGCTATTTTTCATGTGATAAAGAGTTAACTTCTATTTAAAACATTGAAGACATTCGTCATATTACAAATTGTTAGGTAAATTTAGCACAATACTAATAATAACTCAAATGATCTTTTTTCATGATAAATTAAACTGTTTAATTTAAATTAAACTTTACAAAAACTATTATAAAATTTAAAAAAATGTAAATGTTTAAATTTTTCTATTAAGGAAATAAATGTATCTAAAGTTTTAAAACAAAGTCGAAATGTTCTCTCAATATTTTTGTTATTAAATTAATAACAATAATAGCATATTTGTGCTAAACAAGTTAACTAAATCAGCAAATTATCGATCTAATTTATCAAAAGACGACTAGAAGTTTTTATCTTTCTGTTTAAGACATATGATTGATGGAAATCACATAAAATAGCGGCATGATGCTTGCTTTTTGATAAAAATAAGTACACCGATAGATTTGACGATGTAACAAATTTCCACAATTTTAGTACACCAATTTAACATGAAAAAGACACGGGACATTCTAGAAATATTATGAAAGACATGATTTTATGTACCAAGAAATGATATCAAGAAAATTTAATTTATCTCTCAGCCCCAATAAAGAATTTATTTTACATTCAATTTGAACAAAATTTACACAATATAGTAAATAAAATGATTTAGATTGATATTGGAAATATATAAATATAACTTGCACATTTTTTAAATCGGACACAATGTAATGTATTTATACGAGCGAAAAATGATTGTCTAGTCGAGTGATCGATAATGATCAGTGAGGGGGGAGGGCAGCAGTGATTGCTTCGTCAATTAGAGTGTCTTCTGTGACAGTTATTCCTCTGTGTAAACGATGATAAGCGAGGGGAGCTCTCTCCGCTTCAGGCTAGATATTTTGCTGACACGTATGCATGTCTGTACGGAGTGTTCCACTTCCATCGCTTTATTAGTAGAAGATAAATTCTTTCGGAGTAGATGTAACTCAACTCAGAATATCATTAATTTTCGAGTATTAATTAAGCAGAAAAAGTAAAAAGCTTTTGACAATTTAAGCTTAAAAAATATTTACATTTTATCATTTTTAGTTAATCTTAGGTTGATTTAGCGAAATTTTAATTTTATGTTTAGTTGCAAAGAAATATATAATGTTAATCCTGGGAAAGTTGGGGCAGATGATACTTTTCTTGGACATTTTTGCGAGTGAAAAATTGACTCAAAATTGGTCAAGGATTGTATCACTAATTGTAAGAGATGATATGGCAAAAGTGGAACACTCTGTATATGTAGTGACGATTACATAGCATGCACACACGATGGACAGTGGCCTTCTGGAAAGTTTTCTTCCCGAATTGCTTGTATTCCGCTATATATAAATTCTAAAGCACAAACAATTAACAAAATACGTCAAATTAAAAAAATTTTTTTCTAAATACTTTTGAAAATTTATAGATTTTTATAGATATTGTACTATTGCTGCAATTTAATCTTAAAAATAAAATAAATAGATTTCAAAATTTCTCTTAATTATTTTTTGATATCAGTCGATAGAGTGTAGTTTAGATAAATAGAACTATCAGCCACAATATTAATACATAAGAAAATAAATGATGAAAATAAATGATACATTGTATCATTAAATTTAAATAGAAGATAATCAGGTTTCGAAAAAGACTTCGTCATTCTGTAGAAATCTTGCGCCGTTTCTTGTTCAAATGCATTTTGTAACTTTATAAATGTTTAAGTATCTCCTGCTTAAATCAGTTTTAGGTATTGTATGTGAATGTCACGTGTGATGTCACATTCGGAGATATTGGTCATTGTTTATCTATGAAATTTAGATGCGCTAGAAAATATACTATACGATTCTTATTCGTTTAAAACATTAAACTATGTAGTTGCATCAAGAAATTGTAAAGATTATAAAACATTTATTATAAGTATTGTTTAAAGATATTTTTTAACCCGTGTTAATTTATGAAGAAATAACAAATCTTCTTTACATTAACATCCGTGACATATTCGTATTTGCCTTTTTCTCTTTTTTTCTTCGATTTATTATAAAAAATTCAATCGTTGACATTCATGTCCGAAAAAATGTTCACGTTTTCGTTCCGATAGCATTTCCGGTTTCGTGATTGCACCGTAAGGATTGTTCGACCGAATCAAGGACATGCATTGTTGCAATCGCGCCCATTCGTTGCGAATTGCACGAGGAGTTTACTCGATACGGCGAGAAAATGCTGGATAAACGACGGACGATCCATTACGTCTACAATGGTTTCTTTTGTTTGGCTCGAGTACGATATTATTCATTGGGGATCGTGTTATCTCCCGCGATAGGAACGCTCGCGATCGTGACCGATCATCAGGCAAATTACCGCATAGTCATTAGGTGATTGCATAAACGTTACCTATTTACCGCACGCTTCTATTAAGAATATAAAATATGAAGAAAATAAACTTTTATGGCGTTAATTTATTTCTACTAAAAATTATTTTTTAATTTGAAATTCAATAGACAGTGTTATGTCGAAGAGACATGTAAATGATAAATAGAATATTACGAAAAATTTTTATTATTTTCCAGTTTTGCAATTTGTTAATTTTCCTGAAGTAATTCTAAGTCCGGAAGATAAGATTGCATAAATTATTTATTTCTGGCTACATTTTGGGGATTTTTTATAATTGCAAAAACCTAGAAGTTGTGATAGCACACGTACTGCTTAATGCAAAATGTATGTTAATTGCTTTGTTTTTCCTTATTTTTTTTATCTCTCATTGCAAATTGGAAATTTTACATTTTGTGAATTTTACTATTTTTATCATGATTATGCTATTATTTGCTAGAGAATTTTACAATGTTTTTTTTATGATATTGTAATATGATATTATAATATTGAAAGAATATTTTATTTTCTGTAGGAGACCATTCGTAATTATTCCAAATATAGTAATTTGTAGATAAATAAATTACGAATTATTACTATATTTGGAATAAATTTATCATTTAATCTCAGTATAAATTCTTTATGATAATATTGTTTTTGAAACAATTATATATCATGTATAACAATCTGGTTAAATTGGAGAATTGATTGTAGATAAGATAATTCAGTCAAAAAATTGACATAAATCTCAATTCTTTTTGTATAAATAATTTTGATAAAGCACAACAATTTTCAAAACATATTCAATTTACAATAAATAAAACTGCCGCTTGCTTCTCTTTATAATGCGGAAAGAGATATTTATTGTATCAAAATTTGACAAGTCACGGAAAAATACATAATTTGAATGCGCCGAAATGTCGAAAACTCGCGCCCGGTAATTTTGTTGTGCTGCGCGTGGCGTCGGTGATAGAGTATCGTTATCGACGCATAAGATAACGATCACCCTGAGCGTCCAATATGCTGCAAGAAGCAGCATCGCGTTGCTACCGGCCTTTAGTATCGTGCGAACCGTGAAGAAGGTGGATTAAAATCGGATTTTGAAAAAAGGCATGCGAGAAAGTGGGGATGACGGCCCTCTTCAGGGTTCAACTCCCGATATCTCAAACCGTAAAGTCAGGTCTATGACGTCGAATCACCCCCGCTAATGTTTATAATTTTGGATTTAATCTTGTCGAGACCTTGTACAGACAAGAGAAGGTTAACCGGAAGATTGTAATAAAAAAGAAGATAAGGTGATAAGAAATATTAGAAAAGTTGTTACTGTGTAATGAAGGAGGCGGAAGAAGATTAAAAAAAACGGAAAAGATAAAACGTGAAGGGCAAAAACAGTGGAAAAACGTGAAACTGAAAGCACTAAACATTGTCAAACACAAAGAGGATTGAATTTTATTGGCGAAGGAAGAAAGAAAGAACAAACAGACTTGAAGGTGAATTTTACTTTTTACGACTGATTGGAATCGATTGGAATTGCTAATGAACGTACAACGCATGTACCTTGTGTAAAGAGAGGTGAGTCTTTGCGGAAAACAAGAAGTAGATAAAATGACAAAACGGAGAAAAGAAGGTACGGAGTGAAGCATAAAGCAGTTAGATATATTAAAAAAAATTAGGACGGAGTTTTATTTTTCTGCGACTCTTTTTTTCCGCTCGTGCCGCCGTGAATTTCTCGATCGCACGGTCACGTGGACCAGACATGACCAGATAAGCTCTTAACAACGAAAAGTGAGAAAGGTAAGCGCGAGGTGAGAGAGAAGGGAATAAAACTTTGAAATTGATAAAAAACAGCGAAAGGTAAACTAGGACATCAAAGCGCTAGAAATTTATCGCACTTAACGATAGATAAATTGGCGAAAATAATTTTTTGGCGAAAAAGTTTTTATCGAAGAAGCGACGAAAAAAGATACACAAGTTAAGAAGACAAAGAATAGGAAAGATAAACTTCAGACAAGTAAATGAGACAAGTTTTTTTACTCATAAGTTTCAGCAAAGAACGGAGAAAAAAACAACAGACAGATTTAGTGATGATCGTGTTATACGTGGACTAATCTTGAAAACAATCGATTCTCTGCAAAAAAAGGAAAAAGTAAGCAAAGTAGCAAGAAGGAAAAACCTGAAGGATGAAAAACATCTTGGTATAATTAATACAATTAAGATATGAAAATTTATTACTACAATTAAGATATGAAAATTTTTGATGCAGCGCGTAAGTCGAGATAATTGAAATTATTTTTAAGAATAGCAATAAGGTAGGAAAAGAAAAAGAACTTGAAAGTAAAAAAACAATTGTGTGTGTACGATTAAGATTTAAGGAGCTACTCTTAAGAGCGTACAGAAATAATTCTAAAAATATTAAGGCGGTGAAGAGAAGAAAAACAAAGAAGAGAGGAAGAAGAGAAAAAAGAAACTTTAAAACGAAAAACGATTACAAAATAGTGACGTGAACCACATTCGAGAAGCAATGAACGTACGTTTGCAGGAAATGACTGTCGGAAGAGGTGAGGCGGGAAAAGAGGAAGGGGACATCATCCTCGACGATAGTCGTCAGCAGCAGCGGGGTCGTTGCTCCGATTCGCGCGACGACTGGATCGGCAAGGCATCGGGTTACGCGTATTTCGACGAGCGTTACATGACGAGACGAAACCAGATCGAATCTCCGAAACTACCGTCGGCGCCGCCTTATGGTCCAGCACTCGTGCTCGGCAACACGGAAGACATCTTGCCCGGCAATGTCGCCGCACCCTCTTCCACCGTTACGTCACACATTGGCGATAATGCTAGATCACGAGCTTGCGATATCGAGACGACATCTTGCACGACGACGAGATTCCCGTATGCCGTAAATTGCAACGTGGCGTGCAGTAGTATTGTGCCAGCAACGTGCAATAACGCATCAGCGAGCGACGATTCGGGGACGACGTTGTACCGCGACAGCGGTCCGCAGTTGGAGACTTGCGCGGCGATCTCGAAAAGCTGCCAGCTGGGGTTCGTCGACGTTGAGGATCTCGCCATGTACTTCGACAAGCCGCCCGCGACGAGCAATCGTGCGATCCACTCGAGAAGATCGAGGTACGGGCAGGCCGCGAGGATGGATCAGCCGCGACAGGATCGTCGTGATCGTCTCACAGGATCCGAATGCGATCTAAACACTTACCATTTACGGTCTTCCGATCTAGGCTCCCATAATCTACGTCCTTGCGATCTGGGATCTAATAATCCGTGGCCCTCCGAACCAGCGGCTGGCGATCCACGCACTTGCAATTTAGGGTCTGGAAATCAGCAATATCGCGACGTAAGATTCGGCGATCTGCAATCTTATCATTTAGGAACGAACATCTCCGAATTCGACGATCCACGATCCAGCAATGTGGCATTTAATAATTTAGGAGAAACTCGCAATTCAGAATACAACGATCCTCGCTCTTACGATGTATTTGAGGCGTACCAGTTGAGATTCGACGATTCGCAATCCTGCGATTTGAGGCTGTGCGAGGTGCAGCCGCGCGAACTGGGGCGAGACAAACTGGGACGATGCAATCTGGGGCCGGACAATTGGTACTGCAACAACTGTCCGGAACTGTTTAATTTCTGCAGCGAGAAACGATGGCTGCAGTGCCCGGCGAGCGATCGCTGCCCTCTTTACGACCCCTCGTACGCTTACGGTGCCCCGATCTTGCCGCCGTGCATGTACGAGAACTTGCACGCCGACTACAACGATAACGATAACTGGCATTACGGCTACGCAGAGGATGACCAGCTCCTCGAGGATTATTTGTAAGTCAGCGAACAACGTAACGCTTGTCGCTTTCACCGTTTTGTCCTGTTGTCTCTCTCGATCCTCACACATTTAATGCTGTGATCAGAAATAAAGGGTAACTAAATTATTTGATGTAATCTTTCATAATCTTCTTCGAGGGTTGCTGAAAAGCATTTTTCTCATAAATTTTTCTTATTTCAAAATTAATTAAAATTTAATCTTACTTTATGAAATTAATTTTAAATATGAATTTAATTTTAATACGACTTGACTTTGTGTAATTAAATTCAAATATTTAAATTGCTTTCTTAAGAAAAAAATTCCAACATTGATATATGAAAATTTTTTATTTATTTGGATTTGGGAAATTGTTATTTACAGTTTATGCGTAACAGATTGTGCCACAATTAATTTAATTAGTAATTAAAGGAGAAAAGAAGAAAATAAGTTGGGTATTTGTGTATTTTCTTTTCCCGGAAATGTTCTACATTATTTGATTACGTTAGATGTCTCGTTGAATTAGCCGATCGCTTTGACTGATTTAAGTTGATAGCGGTAGGAGGAAGGTGAAGGAAAAAAAACGTGACGAGATCGTAGGATCGATTTCGAAAGAAGTATCGTACGAAGGTCGGCCCGCTGCGACGATAACGCCTAGCTACGCGATAACACCGACGTTTTCCGTCGATCGACAACCAAAAAAAAGATGCACTTTCTCAGAATCACTAACGGTTGCATTGTACTGGTAACAATAGCAACTGAACGCTTATTAATTTTGACGTTTAAACATTTTTCCCAGGCGATCCCTTCTAAACTTTTCATTCCTTAAATCTGAAACAGGATATTTTTTTGTTAAAAATAAAGTTCTAAAAAATTTTGAATGTACTAAATCGAATAAAATTAAGCTATTGAAGCTCTACTCAAATATTGTCTTTGTTAAACGCATCGTGCGATGCATATTTAGTAATCAAGCACAGCGTTGCATACTCAAGTTCAAGCGGTGCCTAAAAAATGCACCACGGTATACGATTCTTGTGTAATCTAAAAATAGTTTAATATCAAATCAAGACCTTATTGAATCGGAGAGTCCGTTTATCGTACGTGATAGTGTACATCTGACGTGACTTTTCGCACTCATCGCTCAGGTACTTCAGGACGTCTGCTTGCGTAAAAATGTCTAATAGGAGATTAGTTAAACGAGTGCTCTCATTCGCACACTCTATGTGATTCACTCTGTGTGAAAAGCACGTAGAAAATTTTATAAAGACAGTGTGTACATAGATCTATATTAAGTATTTCAAAATCATTTCTCATCGAGTTTTATCATTTTCAAATGTCGTCTGTCATTTTGTCATTTTTTTTTTTTTTTTTTTTCCCCAAATAATCAGCTTTCTGTTGACAAAATTTGTCAACTTTGCGTTCTAGGGCAGAATATTGAAAACAACTTTTTTGAAAAAATACTTTCTCGATCATTTATTGTGATTCATTAGTCTATTGTATATCACGAAACATGTGATTGATGAAATATCTGTAAAAATTACAGATTGCTCGTCAGGTGGAAATGTTATCGATGAAAGTAATTAACTTTGCAGCCGATAAATGCACTGGACTTTGAAAGAAACTTTTTTTCTTTATTACAGGAGTAATGAGAAGAGGAAAGAGAGATCTCGCGATGCAGCGCGTTGTAGGCGTAGCAGGGAGACGGACATTTTCGCCGAACTTGCGGCCGCGCTTCCGGTTGCACCGGAACAGGCAGCGCACTTAGATAAGGCCAGTGTAATGAGGTTGGCGATTGCCTACCTTAAAGTTCGAGCCGTCATAGACTCCAGTAAGTACCTATGAATACTGAGTTGTACATATTTTTGTTCGATTACTCGTGTCGCAGCAAATAAGACATTTTATTTGCGCTATCTGAATGTGTGAAACGAAATATATTTCGGAAATTTGCAAAATATATTTTAGTCAGAAATTCAAGTATCTCAAGTGGATATTTAGGCATTTTCTTTTTAAATAATTTTAGGATGATTTAAGATCGGTGTCATTAAATATGACGTAGCAGCGTCAGAATAATTTAGGTATGAATACTGTAATGTATTGAAAGTTATATAACGTTAAAATAACAAATCACACAAAAATTTACAATATGAATTAATATGTGTCGCAAACGCATCCTTTTTTTGTCACGAAACGAATAGCTGATATCGCTCAGAGAAAGCGAAGAATAGGAGTGTTAGTGGCACTGAGAGAGAGAGAGAGATGGAGAGCAGAGCGAGAAAAAAAACAGTCGCTGTCGTCAGTTAGGCGACTGACTAGCTCGAGCGACGAGCAAGAGAGAAGGAGAGAGATATAAATCGAGCGAGATATAGGAATAGAGTGCGGAATATAATGAATAGGTCGAATCGATTTGTAACATTTACAACAGCAGCTTTATTGTTGAAAAAATGTCTTATGGTTTAAAGAAAAGATGTTCGTGAACCTAGCATATCATTTTCCAGCAGATCAAAAATAAAAGAGAGTTCTTGTCGCATGCAGTCGAGTTCTATAGTTCCTTATAGTTTTTAGTAATAGTTCTGGTGATTTTATCCAAAAAAACAACCAATCGAAAAAATAGATCTGCTAACTTCCCGTAGCAGATCATTTTCTAGCAGATCAAAAATAAAAGAGAGTTCTTGTCGCATGCAGTCGAGTTCTATAGTTCCTGATAGTTTTTAATGATAGTTCTGGTGATTTTATAAAAAAAACACCGATCGAAAAAAATGATCTGCTACGGAAAGTTAGCAGATAAAAAATAGAGGACACTGAACATATATGTGATATGCTGCCGTATATTGATAGTTCTGTTGATAATTAAAGAGTTTTCGTGTAGTTCTGAGCCAGTACATTGCTTTTCCAAAGAGTTCTGACGACTAAAATAATTAGAAAATTTTTTAACAATTATTTTACCCGAAAAACACGCATTTTTGTACATATATGTGACATGCTGGCCGTATATTGATAGTTCTGTTAATAATTAAAGAGTTTTCGTGTAGTTCTGGGCAAGTACATTGCTTTTCCAAAGAGTTCTGACGACTAAAATAATTAGAAAATTTTTTAAACAATTAATTATGTTCGTGAACCTAGCATATCATTTCCAGCAGATCAAAATAAAAGAGAGTTCTTGTCGCATGCAGTCGAGTTCTATAGTTCCTTATAGTTTTTAGTAATAGTTCTGGTGATTTTATCCAAAAAAACACCAATCGAAAAATGATCTGCTAACTTCCCGTAGCAGATCATTTTCTAGCAGATCAAAAATAAGAGAGAGTTCTTGTCGCATGCAGTCGAGTTCTATAGTTCCTGATAGTTTTTAATGATAGTTCTGGTGATTTTATAAAAAAAAACACCGATCGAAAAAAATGATCTGCTACGGAAAGTTAGCAGATAAAAAATAGAGGACACTGAACATATATGTGATATGCTGGCCGTATATTGATAGTTCTGTTGATAATTAAAGAGTTTTCGTGTAGTTCTGAGCCAGTACATTGCTTTTCCAAAGAGTTCTGACGACTAAAATAATTAGAAAATTTTTTAACAATTATTTTACCCGAAAAACACGCATTTTTTAGTATATATGTGATATGCTGGCCGCATATTGATAGTTCTGCTAAAAATTAGACAGTTCTCTTCTAGTTCTGGGCGAGTACATTGCTTTTCCAAAGAGTTCTGACGACTAAAATAATTAGAAAATTTTTTAAACAATTAATTTACCCGAAAAACGCGCATTTTTGAGCATATGTGTGATATGCTGGCCGTATATTGATAGTTCTGTTAATAATTAAAGAGTTTTCGTGTAGTTCTGGGCAAGTACATTGCTTTTCCAAAGAGTTCTGACGACTAAAATAATTAGAAAATTTTTTATATAATTTTATATAATTTTATATAATTATATAATTTTATATAATTATATAATTTTATATAATAATTATTGAAAATAATTACTGTTATACAAATAATTTTTTCATATCCTTGAAGTTTTTCTTCGTACGCCGAGTATATTCACAATCATATAGTAGAGTTCATAAAAGTTGTTAACAATTATTTAAATATTAGAAACCAGAACTTTTCTGAAATGTATAGAAGTATTAAATATATAGTTCGAAAAAACTTCCCAATATACAATAACGTATCACAATTACATAAGCGAAAAGATGATAAAAATTGTTAACAATTATTTTTATTACTATTGATGGATATTGTTATTGAGAACTTTCCAATATCAACTAGAGCCTCGATACTTATACGTTCAACAACTTGGCGATATAATTTGTTTACTAAATATAATTAATTTTTACCCCATAAAATTTTATTAGAATAAAAAGTAATTGTTTAAAAAATTTTACTAATTATTTTAGTCGTCAGAACTCTTTGGAAAAGCAATGTACTCGCTCAGAACTAGAAGAGAACTGTCTAATTTTTAGCAGAACTATCAATATGCGGCCAGCATATCACACATATGCTCAAAAATGCGCGTTTTTCGGGTAAATTAATTGTTTAAAAAATTTTCTAATTATTTTAGTCGTCAGAACTTTTTGGAAAAGCAATGTACTTGCCCAGAACTACACGAAAACTCTTTAATTATTAACAGAACTATCAATATACGGCCAGCATATCACACATATACTCAAAAATAGCGTGTTTTTCGGGTTAAATAATTGTTAAAAATTTTCTAATTATTTTAGTTCGTCAGAACTTTTTTGGAAAAGACAATGTACTCGCCCAGAACTAGAAGAGAACTGTCTAATTTTTTAGCAGAACTATCAATATGCGGCCAGCATATCACATATATGTACAAAAATGCGTGTTTTTCGGGTAAAATAATTGTTAAAAAATTTTCTAATTATTTTAGTCGTCAGAACTCTTTGGAAAAGCAATGTACTGGCTCAGAACTACACGAAAACTCTTTAATTATCAACGAGAACTATCAATATACGGCCAGCATATCACATATATGTTCAGTGTCCTCTATTTTTTATCTGCTAACTTTCCGTAGCAGATCATTTTTTTCGATCGGTGTTTTTTTTTATTAAGTTATTACCAGAACTATCATTAAAAACTATCAGGAACTATAGAACTCGACTGCATGCGACAAGAACTCTCTTTTATTTTTTGATCTGCTAGAAAATGATCTGCTACGGGAAGTTAGCAGATCATTTTTTCGATTGGTGTTTTTTTGGATAAAATCACCAGAACTATTACTAAAAACTATAAGGAACTATAGAACTCGACTGCATGCGACAAGAACTCTCTTTTATTTTTGATCTGCTGGAAAATGATATGCTAGGTTCACGAACATAAAGAAAAGGCTATGAATTTAACTCAAGTCCGATTAACTACCGAAAAGATTCGTACTGTCCGGATCTCGCGAACTTGAATTACTTTCGCATTATATTACAGTCTTTACTCAATGTGCTTGCTTCGTCGCTCCGAATTTTCTTCCTTGAGAGTTCGACTTCCTTAGAAGAAGAGAGCGATCGACTCACTTTTAATCGTCAGCTCGAAAAATTATATCGCGAGAGAGGAATCCCCGTTTTCCGGTATACTTGTTTAGCGACTAGCCTTCGACGCAAGGACATAAAATATTATATATACAATCAACATACAGCCAACGAGTTGTGTATAATACGGAAACTAATAAAATTTTGGAAAGTATAATGAACGAAATATTCTAGAATAATGATGTATAATGATGTTAAACAAACTTAATATGAATTAATCTTAAAATAGATAGTTAAATTACTCGGAAGATTTATGAAGAATTTTAGGATTTCAGAATATCTAAAAATTTATTTTTATTTTACATTACTGACGATCTTATTGCTTATTTCGTTACTTGATTTTGCTAAATCGACAATTTTTGGATACGAATATTTTCGGGGTTTGGATCTAGGATTTGGTATTTAGGATTTTGCATGATTTATAAAAAATCTTAGAGTTTGGTACAATGTTGTGTTAGCTAAATTTTCGATTCTGTTAACGCAAGTTCCAGCATCGCTAGCAAAGTCTGAGTCGTCCGCAGAGATGGATGAACTATTTCCGAAAGCTCTCAACGGCTTTATGTTAGTTCTCTCCAGTGATGGCAATATGGTTTACCTCTCGGAGAACGTCAACGATTATCTCGGAATATCACAAGTATGTCATAAAAACCTAAACGTTACTGCAATTATTAGAAGCAAAAAACAATGATGTAAATAAACTTATAAATAAGTTTTAATATAATTTTCCATAAAATTTGAATCTTTTCTTTAAATGTTATTCTTATTATTTTTGTGTTTTCAATAATTACGTTTTAAATAATTTTTATAAAATCATTATTTAATACATAACATAAATCATTGATTTTTAAAGGTAAAGTTAAATTTGTAGAAAAAGTTTAAATTAAATATGTAGAATGTACAATTACAGCTGCATTGCTAAGATTGCAATTAATCATTTTAAATCACAAGCTTTGTTGTACTTAATATAAAGGAATATAAAGTTAAACGACAGATTTTTATATGTACCTTGTCGGGATTGTGCCTTGCATAGATGGACATGATGGGGCAAAGTGTATACGAATACAGCCACCCCTGCGACCATGACGAATTGCGCGAGTGTTTATCCTCAAAGCCGACAGACAATAATGAGAAACGTGCTTGCAGTTTCTTTTTACGACTCAAATGTACTCTCACCAGTAAGGGTAGAAAGGTCAATTTGAAGAGCGCCTCCTACAAGGTATGTAGAGCTCTTTACTTATATCAATTTGGATTTTAAATAAATAGTTTTTTATAATTAATACAAAAGTGAACTCGCATTGAACAGTGGAATTTTTATAAATGTAGGTTTCTACGACATTTACTTTGCGTTTTTTTTTTTAATTTTTTAATGAGAACTTACCACAATAAAACTTTTCTGATCATATTAGTGAATATTAGTTAATAATATTCCTACTCTTGTGATCTGAAATGGATATTTCAAATGTCCACAGGTAATCCATTGCACCGGCAGATTGACGAATATTGGCGACTCGAATTCGAATTCCGTGGAAGCCGATGACGAGAAACGAGAAAAAGAGGATGAACCGGTGGAGCAAAATACAGGCGCTTCCCTGGTGCTCGTGGGTAGTCCAATACCTCACCCCAGTAATATCGAAATACCATTGGGACGTCATACCTTTTTATCGAAGCACAGTCTCAGCATGAAATTCACGTACGCTGACGAAAAGTAAGTGACATGTTCACAGTTTTCTCGCTACTATTGTTCACAGTTTTCTTGCTACTATTGATGACTTTGATGTAGATTTCTCATCGGGTCTAGTTACGCAATTCGATCCAATTAGTTTTGAATAAAAGCAAATTATTTCAGATTAACGCAATTTAATTTTTCGCTTTAATCGTTTGATTAATCATTCACTTGCATAATATTTAACGCCAATTATTTAAATATTTTTAAAATCTTATCGTTATTCGATAAGTTGTGCTTATCGTACATGAGATTCGAGTGTGATTTCTTAGTAATCCTGTATTATAAATATATGTAGTATTTTGAAAACAATCGCAATTAATAATTATTGAATATTATTTTGCAATACATTATCGAAATTTGTTTACTTTGTAATCAGATTAGCCGAATACTTGGGCTGGAACAGCGAAGAGCTGATGGGTCGATCGGTCTTTGAATTCTATCATGCACTCGACAATCTGGCGCTGGATAAATGCTTCAAGTGCTGTAAGTACTACTTTTTTAACTCATTTTATATTTATTATAAATTTAGCAAAAATAATACAAATATTTAATAAAACGCTTAATAACGCGAATATTTAATAAAACTTCTTTAAAATATCTTTATTTGAATATCCATCGCATCTTCGTCGCCTAGATCGTGTCTTTTCTTCAAATTATGAAAATTGATTTCTGCAAGATTAGTGTATTATTAACCATTAATCACAAGAAAATAATTTATGTGTTTTATGCAAATTACTTTTTGTTATATTTTCACATTATTTGCTATTTTGTGGAATACTATTAATTGCTTGATTTGCGCTTTCAATTAAAGCGGATACTAAAATCTTTTAAAAAATAGCCTTTTGTATTGCAGAATTTTTATTATGCATAAATTGAAATGTAAAAACCGAATGACCGTTAAAACGACATTTAAGGATTATTATTCATATTTTGTCTGACGATTTCCTTTAAGATATTACTCTACGCGAGGAACACGGAAGTAGGTGATAGCAACCAAAGTAAAGAGATATAAAAAACACATATAAAATATATATCATGGAAGGGGACTGACAGTAGGGAAGGGGAAAACGGATTACGCTGTAGATCTACCTAGAGGTGAATGACTTGATTGGGGAGGGTTTCAAGGACGATCGTATCTCTTATCGCGGTACTAACTTAATCCGAAGACAAAGACCTTTTTTTACGATTTTCTGGGACCACAGACTAACGTTATCGACTACTAGTTTTATAACTGCTGCGTCCCACTGGTATTTATGAGCATACACGTACGCAATTACGTATCAGCGTAGACGTTTTATTGTGTCGTTTCAGTAATTGACTTGTAAAGTCATTAAATAGATAATGGAGAATGAAATACGGACAAAGTATAAAACCGTAAAAAGTATTGAAAGATAGATACTTGATGAGCTGTTTTACATCAGAAGTCTGACGGCTACTTTGTATTGAGAGCCAAGAGAGTTATCCTAATAATATATTATCTTGCGGTTACAGTACACGTGTTAAAAATAATGATGTAATTGTCGTAGTCGTCGAATAAGAAGTCTTTTTTAGATTTTATCTGATATTTAATAGCTCAAATATGCAAATCGCGATAGATAAATCTTCTAATAAAAACATTGAATTTTTTTTTTATTTTTAAATCGATAAATCCATTATTCATAGAGTGACACTGCACAACAAAAATCTGAAATGTCTAATAAATAATATTTTATGAAAATATGCATACATATACATCTAAAAAAATGCGGGATATTTGGCAGTTGCTCGTTATTATAGGATGTACGACTATAAAGAATGATTAAGCTAGCCGTTTTAGGAGCTTTACGTGTTCGAGCAATCCGTGACGTCAAAAATCTCCCTTTAACGTCACCAACCAATCTCGGCTTTCCAGCCGAATCAGCTCCGCGCTAATCCACCCCAGTTGCGTTTTATGCGAACATGAGATATATATTCACCCTCGAGGACAAGATAATTCGCTTCTCGAAAAGGCTGATCTCTAGCATCGATTTACGAAGTAACCTTATGATGCAATATTCCCATTTACACGTTCTCAAATTTTCTTGTAGGATTAGAACAGTGTATTTCTTTTTTGCGATAAAATTTTGATGATGTTCAAAATTAACATTTGTTTAATAAAATTATAATATAATACGGTCAAATTTCTACGTGATAGATTTTGTCATACGATTTTAAGTTTTGTGTTTTTAGCAAATTGTTTACTGTCGCAATAAAAATGTCTAACTTATTTTTTTTATTCAATTTTTATAAATTCTCTGATTAATATTTTCGGGAACTGTATAGCGTTCGATTGATATTTGCAATCCCATACTGCATCTTTCGTCAGCCGAAACGCGCGGGGTGACGCTATAAAACTGCGCGAACGCACTCGCGTGCTCTGAGTCCTGCAACGACCGCTCTCTCATCATCACGTTGTACTGTTTCAGTGTTCAGCAAGGGCCAGTGCGAGACCGTGGCGTACAGATTTCTCGGCAAACGGGGTGGTTACGCCTGGGTTGTCACTCAAGCCACTCTCATCCACTGCTCCAAGCAACAGAAACCGATCTCCGTCGTCTGCGTAAACTACATTCTAAGGTAGGATTCATTATTTTATTTCGTCTTTTTGGTGCTGGTTTTTTTTTGCATGGCCCTTCTGCTGGAGTATCTTCGATTTTGCTTTCATTCTATGAGCATGATACCGTTCGTATAAGCGTTCGACGAAATCATACGGAAAATATCTTTGATTGTTTAATCTCGACTTGATATAAACTTCAATAGGTATTGTTTTACTATTTTGGACCATTGAATATGTGTTTTTTTGAGATCCAGATAGTTAAATTTTGAAAATTTAATTCATCTATTTTTAAAGAAAAAGTAGCAAATAGAAGAAATTTTCCGATACATTTTTTGCTACTAATTTACCAAGTTTTATTAATTAGATTAATTATTTAAAAAATTTAAATTATATATATTTTATAGAATTTGTGAGATTGAATTAATTCTAATAAAAAAATTTGCTCTAAAATTTAATACAATTTACGATGCACATAAATTATATTTAACTATTGCATCATCGTATTGTATTTCTTATGTCGAAAAAAAATTAGCTTGAGAATATAAGTCCTATTTATTTTCGCATTTTACGTCGACTTTTTAAATTTATGATGACATTACAAGATTGCGTCATGCATTAGCAGTTGCACAAAACTTGTAGCGTTTTAATCAGATATCCTTGTTCATTAATGCTGCAACATTATTGTATGACAAATTAATTTCCATTACAATTATCGCGTCCTTCGTTGCCTGTTTTATTATTCCATTTTTCTGTACAATTATTAAATTGCATGGAAACATGCAAACGTACCGATTAAAATTACTATGCGTCTACCTGTCGATTTAATATTTTAAAAGAAAATATTTATTTGACTATTAATGTTTTTAAATTATTTTAACGATGGGAAAAGCGTTGTTTTGTTTTTAGTATTTTTTTATTATTATATTATGATATATATTATAAAGAAGTATAATACAATTACTTATATGTTAAATGCTATTTTGCAACAATATCTAGATATTTACAATAATGAACAATTTTGAGATAATTTATTGAAAATGTGTAATAAATAAAATTTTCCATTAATATATCCGCTGGAGGTAAGCTAATATCGAAACTCAATTTCGCGCTTGCTTGATTACACAGCCGGATACGCAAATTATTTCCTATTGTTATTGTAGACACGCTACTTCCGCCTACTTCCGACAAAAATCGCAAGGGGAGTAGTCACGCAAGGTAAGTGCTCCCTTAATTATTCTCTCGGCGCAGATTTAACCCTTGATTTGGTCACCCGATATATAAATGACCCCACTTATTTATATAATTTGACTTAATTTATCTTTATTTACCCGTTTAATTACATAAGGTTTAACATGTTGATTGGTTATCGATCGATTATATATATTGTAAAAAGTATAGATCATTACTATACATCAAAATATCGAGATTACAATAGTTTTTAAATGGAACACCTTTAAACACTTTCGATTTAAAAACTATTGTAGCTTCGATATTTTAGTATAAAGATCTTCGTCTCCAATGATTTCAGAAATGCTATTAACGAATCATACAATTGGTTTGGGACACTCTGTACATTAATTTTTTTAAAGAAACATTTTCATCTTTAAATGCTATTAAGTATGAAAAATTATTTTAAAAATTTTACAAAATGAGTGTAATAAGAACGCGTGTCAGAATATACAATTTATTTTGAAAGATCGATTTTTTTAGTGATTATGAAATTTTTCTGTTTTGATTTTTTATCGTTATAAATTCCTCTTAATTTCCAATTTGCTATATCTTCTTCATTTTATCCGAAACGCTATACCACTCTAGGGTTAATCTCGTGCCTCATTACGCGAGGAAACAGCTAGAGTTTTTTCGTTCGCATATTTTTTTCTTTCTCAGCATACTGGTTTTTTCCTCGTCTTTTCACGCTTTTTGCATGTGTGTCGAAGATACTCCAAAAAACACGGCTGCTATTTGAGCGCCGCCGCTTTTACGAGCCAAGTACAATTGGCTCTTGGAATATTGCACGTGTTTTCCGGTTATTTTCTCTATTTTTAAAAACTGTTAAATTATCTTTAATGCTTTATTATGTGTATTTATCCGTAAAAATATTTTAATTATTCTGAGATCCATGTTTGCAATTGCGATATTAAAAGATATTTATAATATTTTGAAATAATTTAATAATGAGGTTTAAATATATAATAATAAAATGTTATAAGGAAGGTTTATTGTTATAGGCAAGAGAACTACTACTTTTTTTCTCTTTCTTTTGCTTCAAAAATTCATAAATATAGACAGAGAAGAAAAAAGAAAACCATTTTATTTCGTGAATATTTTATTTTCGAGAAAATTACATTATATCATCTCGACTCCATTGACGATGGCGCACCCCACTGCTGAAAAACAAACTCTCGCTATTGAAAAACAAATAAAACGTATGCCGTCTTCACGTAGCGAGCGTTATCCTTCTAACATTTCATGATCCTTCCAACATTTCGTGATATAACACGTGCCGAATTTTCCGAGATACCGCCTCCTCCTGAATGGAGGAAGAGGAGTCTCGTGGCACACATAAAACATCCCCATTTTCTCCCGTATCCGCCTCGGGGTGCGATCGTTCCCGCCAGTAGCTGAAAGGTGGTTGGCAGATTCTGGCAGATTATCCCCAACACTCCCGCTGTTTTTCTGAACGCTTTTCCCATCTCTACGCCATCGCTTTTGCTCTCTTTTCCGGTTTCCCGGTTTCTTCACACTCGATTTCGTTGGCGAAAACGCACGATGTTTCAGTCGGCGTTGATAGGAGAAGCGGAGATATTCGCGAACAGTCGTAGCTCTTGTTATCGTGTACGTATTATTATGTTTTTCATATACATATAGGGCGAATTATCTCTAGTTCTGTTAGCTGGTAGTTATGATTAATTATTATTTTTGGTTAGATAACATGATTTGGTTGTACAATCGTACGGTTAGATTAATTTGCTTTTGGCACTGTCGAGAAATTTGGAGTTTACATTGCAATGTTATTTCTTAGGTAAACTATGAATATTGTTTGAAAACACAATTATATATAAATGATGACTAGTCGTATACGCAAAACTAAAGCACGTACAATTAGTTAGATAAGAATCATTCAGTTTATTCAAACATAGGCTTTTCAATTGCTTGTTACATACTTTATTTTAAAATTGCAAATTTGTGTCATTTATTAAATTATTAACATCAAATCTGCTTATGGTGTATACATTTTTATGAATTAATATTGAATTTTTAATTGTTATTTGAACCTACTACAATCGTGTTTCATACTCTTCTCACTCATCATAATTGTCTGCTATTCATGTGTATTTACATTCTCAGCTTGACCTAGTTATATATTTAGACAATATTTGTATTACTAATATTAGCACATAAATGCCTGGATATTAACATCCATTCAGATGTTTTGCAACTCTCGTTTGCTGTTCGGTTCGTTCCCCTTGAAACTTGGCGTAAACGTAGGAGCACGCGCCTTCTCATCGAGGCGGAAGCGCGACGCTTGCGCGTCGTCGCGGTCGCCGCACCTCCCGCGATCTGGTCCGTCGATATGCGCGTTTTAGCCGCGACATCCATCGCATCATCGTCGTCGACGAGCACCAGCAGTCGAACGAAAGCGAGAGTGAAGAGAGAGCGAAAGTGGTGCGTTGCGCAAGCTCACAATCAGTCGCGGTGGCCGAGAAATCGAAATTCCGCGTGTTTTTGAAGGTGTTAAGTAAGTAAAGAGAACCTTAGAGAGAGAAATCAATAGAGTAAATAATGAATTAAACAGTAGGTGGTGGAAAATTATCGTGAAAGTTATTTTATGAGAGAAAAACCGTGGTTAAAGATAGGTAACTTATTTTATTTGCGATCAAATAAGTTAACCAAGCGTCGTTTAATTTTTAGATTACGGTTTATAATGTAATGCGAGAAAAAATTTTACTTAAATTACATGATATTTGAGTCTAAACAAATTCAAATAAAATTCAACTCACAGTGCACGTACGAGACTGCGTGAATTTTTTTCTGTAAGAGATACATTTTCGCGTTGGTGTACATGACCATTAAAGCAACGCGATATCTTTTTCCGCTTTCCGCTCATGTTTGACCGGTTCTCTCGGGATCTCTTTATGGCGATCTCTTTTGAAAGCTACTATGCATGAAACCGCGACTTTCCGCTCGACGAGAAGCTCTATTGCATCGTGTCAGAAAGAGAACTTGCTCGAGCATTACACAGAATTATACAATCAGTGTATCTATTATTATACGAATGGCTCGAAAATACGCGAAACGAAAAGATTCAGTGTGATTCTGTTACGTGAAAACAGAATGAGGAGAAAACCTTTCTCTCCGAGTCTCAGAACGACGTTGGCTGCTTTGCCGCGAGATATTGATGTTACAGGGAGATATTCGATATTCTCTTATAAATAAGTTATATATGCTGTTCTGCACTTTTCTATTAGATATTTTAAAAATAAAGACGGATATTTATAAGATTATAGAAGGTCATGCATGCTCGAGTAAGTTTTGCTTCGATTTCGGCGGTATGTTTCTTACGATTACTATCTATAATAAGTAATAAGAAGTTCAAACGCAGGAATGTGTCCGTGTCATGCACAAATAACAGACATTTAGCTCGTTAAAAATAAAAACAGATCTTGTTTTGCCGATCTGATCTTTTTGAAAGGCCAAGTAAAAGATTTATTGATATCGGAAAAAATTTCGTTTTATCGCATCTTCTTTACTGCAAACTTTATTTGCATAAATTATTTCATTTAGAATTTAAAAAAATACGCATAAATTATTGGAAATTTAATTACTGGAAATTTAATAATTTAACAATACGTACATTTGATACACAACTAATGGATACGTCGAAAACAAATTCATCTCGTATCGTTGATGAAAACACAAACTCGACAACAAATTACGTTATTATTTTTAATTGGAATTAATATACGCTGCGCTCTATATTGTTTGGTGTTATCTGTTTTCTGCGAAATATCAACGCGCG